AAGCTAATCGACAGCTGGTTAAGAGGAATCCGCCGTCGTCTTCTGGTGGAGCCGACCTTCGAATCTCTTCACTTAACACTTAAACTCCAAATGGAAACAAGCTCAACAATAAAAGAAGGAAGTGGGAGGGTTTCTTTAAACACTGTTTTTTTATCGCACTTTCTTGCTAATTCGCCTATCTTTTTTGAAAGAAGGCATGACGGAAAAATTAGAACATGGGAAAAAGTGTCAGTCTGTCTATCTTTGACTAAATGGTCTCCGTCTGAAAATTTATTCCTCAGTAGAGAGATATTATTCTTAATAAGATCCAAAGGATAATTATTTTCCAGGAATAAATTTGTCAGTTGTTTCAACTCTTTAGTCAAATGTTTACTATCCGCTAGCCTCATACTTTTAAGAATCATTGACTTCATAATTCCAACCTTAGTCTTGTAATTATGGTTGGAAAGAAAATTATGCAAAGAGCCAACATAATTTTGCTTCCAATAAACATCTCTTCGTAACTTACCATTTTCTCTAATGATGTGAACATCCATTTCCATTGTGAACCTAATTTTCCTTTGACGCTGATTGAGTGAAAGTTGGAAACTATCTAAATTTCCTTACCATAGGGCTAGATGACAAAATATTTATCCATGTATGTAACCAACAATTTGGGGTTTGGTATTGCCTCTTACAAGAAGTGTTTCTCCAGCATTGCCACTGAGACCACATCACGAATTTCTTCCAACCAACTTTTCCTTCGAAAAAGAAGGTCATGCGACGAAAGCTCAGCACGTTTTCATCTGAGACGAGGGAGGAAGTCCCGTTGACTGCGTCAACATGAATATCGTATAAAATCCAACCGGCTGCAGTACAACGAGTTTCATCTGTCCTTATCTGGTGAGATCGACCAACGAATCTCTTCTTCATGCACTTTGATACGAAATGAAGGTCCCCCTAACAAGAATATTCCAGTAAAGCTTTGGACAGCTGGTCGATCGAAACCTGCCATCATCTTGTGGGATCTACCCTCTATTCTCTTCAGCAAACACTTTTACTTGAAAGCGAGCTTTACAATTATAATCCAATCAATTCCTCAGAACACAATTTTTATTCACATATATTATTTTATTCCCATCCTATTTACATATTTATGCAAATGTTTGCACCCCATTTTTTTAAATATGCTAAATCTATCATTTGTGTCTTGGTTTAATTATGTTTCGGATCCCCATGCCTTTATCTCAATCTCACTTCATTAATATGTCTTGGATTTCGTTTTTAAATGCCTCTTATTTTAATGCTTTATTTTATCTCTAATCTGTATCTCTTCACATTTTCATATGAAGTATTCAATGTTCGAGCCTGGCGCCCGCCACTCCTTTTCCTTGGCCTTAGGACGTAACATTGCCAATCCGACTGCCATTCTTCTTGCCACGGCTCATCTTCTACGGCATATCAATCTTCCAGAACACGCTAACAAGCTTGAAACTGCTCTGCTCTCGGTAATCCAAACTGGACGAATACTCACGGAGGACGTAGGTGGCCGATCAACGACAACAGACTTTGTTAATGCTGTTTCTGAGGTCCTACAGCCTTAAAATGAAATACACATTTGAGCATATCTCTCAATATTTTTAACCTCTCAAAACTTAATTTGTTATCAAAGTCTCTTCTGGTATCATTCATGAGGATGGTATTAGTATATTGTTGGAAAACTGGAGCAAGTGTTTTCTTCTGTTAAATTTGTTATAAATACCGTTCTGTTTGTAAACAACGCTTCCTATCTTTGACTCACTTACCTTTGATCAGCTTTGGATGCACAAGCCATAGCAACAAATTAACATTTATTTGTACTTATTTCATAGTCAATATTTTATTTCTTTTACAAATGTAAACCTTTATTCTACAAATTCTTAGTTACGCCAGATATCTACGTATATTGCACTTTCTGCCTATGGCCTCTATATTCGGCAA